TACGACCGTTTAGAATGGATTTTCTTGGAGGAAACGATGAGAAAAATGGGGTTTGATCATCGATGGATTCAATGGATCATGCTCTGTGTCAAATCAGTCAGTTTCTCATTACAAATTAACGGCACACCAAAGGGATTCATACAATCAGAAAGGGGATTACGCCAAGGAGATCCAAGGAGATCCGCTCTCTCCTTATTTGTTTATTCTTTGTGCTGAGGTCTTATCACATATGATGACACATGCTGCAAAGAATAAGAAGATTCAAGAAATAAAAGTTAGTAATAATGTTCCATCTGTTAATCATCTACTTTTTGCTGACGATTCCTTATTTTTCTCTCTTGCAAATCCAAAATCTGGGAGAGCAATCAAAAAGGTTTAGGAGTTGTATGAATCGATCTCAGGTCAAGCAGTTTATCTGAGAAAGTCTGCAATCATCTTTGGAAGCAGAGTGCACACACAGAGTAAAACTCTGATGAAATATTTGGGTGTTCCAGAGCAATTTGACAGGAGAAAAACAGGAATGTTCCAGTATCTTCTTGACAAAGTCATTGAAAGAACTCAGGGACGGAATAGGAAATTTGTTTCGCAAGGAGGGAAAGAGGTTCTTCTAAAGTCAGTAGCAACATCAATGCCGGTTAATGTTACGGATGTCTTCAAGCTTCCTAAAGGTATTTTTGAAGACATCAATAGTACCCTAACTAAATTTTGGTGGGGTAATAGAGAATATAACAGAGGAATGCATTGGTTTAAGTGGAACAGATTGAGCTTACCAAAGAAAGAAGGCGGATTAGGATTTCGAGACATTAAAAAATTTAATCTAGCTCTTTTGGGGAAACAAGCATGGAGGATTCTGCAAAATACAAATTGCTTAATGGCCAGAGTACTCAAAGACAGATATCTCTATGATAAAAACATCATCATTGCAAGAGAAAGAAAGAAAAGTTCGTATATATGGAAGTCAATTTTATAAGGCCGAGATCTCATGAAAAAGGGTATGCATTTTGTTATTGGAGAGGCTCAGTAATTAGCTTCTGGTGTGATCCGTGGTTACCAGTCGATCCTCCAAGGCCACCCAACCTAGAGATATGAATATCACTCATTGCTTGGTGAAAGATATGTTTTTTGAATACTCGGGCTGGAATGAAGAGAAAATCCATGATCTAGTAGTTGCAGAAGATGCAGACATAATTCTATCATTAAGAGTGAATTCACGTTCTAGAAAAGATCTTTTAGGTTGGAACAAATCGGGTGTCTACACAATTAAATCTGCTTATTGGTTGGCTTCTCACCAACATCAGCAACAAATCACTCCACCTCCTGATAATGCTGCACTAAAGCAGCAAATTTAGAAACTCCATACTGCTCCAAAGATAAAGAATTGCCTCTGGAGGTTGATTTCTGATGCACTACCGATAGGGGATAATCTAAGGAAACAACACATCATCAGACAATCAGTTTGTCCAAGATGTCTCAATGCAGAGGAATCGGCCAATCATCTATTATTTTTTTTAGTGTTCCTATGCTCAACAAATTTGGAGAGCACCTGGTTTTCCGAATAGAACTAGGGAGTACCTTTTGAGACAAGAATAGAATCCATTATTAAACGAAGTGACATAATGCCCCATGCAATTTGGATTCTCTGGAGGTTATGGAAGAGTCGCAACACCTTGCTTTTTCAAGCAAAACAGATTCCATGGAGAACAACGATGAAGTTGGCGGAAAATGATGCAAAAGAATGGTTGGATATACATCAGTTGGTGGATAAATATAACCAATAAGATGACCCAATCAATAACCCTCAACTACAAACGAGGCACCATTTTTGGACTCGTCCAAAGAATTCTTGGATAAAGTGCAACTATGATGGTTCCTATGTTAAAGAAGTTAGAAGTGCAAAAGCGGCTGGATTTTATGTGATGATGAAGGAAAATATCTAGGCACAGGTTAAGCAGAAAACAGAGCAGCACAATCACCTCTGAAAAGCGGAGTACAAGTACTTATAATGGCAATGCAATTCTGCTGGGCTAAAGGTTATATGAAAGTTTCCTTTGAGGGAGATTGCAAGAACTTGGTTAGTCTTCTCAACAAGGAATCTCTCAACTTTGGCTGCCATTATTGGATCAGAGAAACATGGGAGTGGAAAAAGAGATTTGAAAACATCGAGTTCATTTGGATGTATCGGGAGAACAATCAGGCTGCGGATTTACTCAGCACCTCTACCACCTAATTGTTCCTATGTTTTTCATTATTTCGTTTCTAATGTAATAACAAATGTATTACACTCTGACTATATGTGTTCATCTATATAAATAATATCAAGACGTTAAAAAAAATTGAATTTGTTTAATTAAAAACCTGGGCAAAATATCTGGATTCGAAGAACTAACCAAATCTAAAATCGATAAAATGGATCCTAGATTCTTATACTTGAATAATCAAAACTAAAACCGAACTAAATTAAAAACCGAATAAATATCTGAAATATCCGAAATACAATTACATATTTAAAATATTATTAAATTTAATAGCCCAAAATTACGATTATAATTCAAAGATATGAGTTATATTTAGATCAAAATGATTGATAGACCCAAATAACTAACATATATGAAAGTTTTTAGTTATATTTGTTATGTTTTAACCAAATTTTATTTAAATTTAACTAATTAATTTAAATTTAACAAATTTTATATTATTTTTATAATTTTTTGGATATTTGAAAGTGAATCGAATTCAATAACCAAACCGAACCCGAACAAAAATTCTAAAATACTCGAATGAAGTTTATATCTCTAATCCAAAAACCAAAAATCCCAAAAAATCTAACCAAATCCGAACAGATATCAGAACGCCCAGACACTGAATAAAAGATGGTTGTCTTTGGCATTTCTTGGTCAGAGTTTTAGTGTATTTTTGTTGTTGTTGTTCCATATTGAAATTAATTAAGAAAAGGAATACATATCAATTTAAGGCCACATCTCTTAGAAGGGTTATTGGGAGTTGGATTTATAAAGATTTTACCTGATTTTAAAAATTATGAGATTTGTCAAATTTTTAAGAGTTTTGTTGAATTTGTAAAACTTAGAGAGAGTTTTATGGATTTAAATAATCTACAAAATATTTTTAATATGACAGATTTTGAGAATCCAAGGGATATAGGTAGTATTTTGAGAATCATAATTTATGAATTAAATTGTAAAGAATCATTATGTTAATAACACTAGATTATAACAAAATTATAAAATCATTAAAATGCAAACTTTTTGAATAACAATAAATTTTGATTAGACTATAAAAATCATCATATCAATAACAACTGATTTTTATAATCTATAAATGAATAACAGTCGAATCTATTAAGAATGTAAAAATCCACAAAACCAATAACTATAAAATCTTTTTTTTTTTTTTACATAATAACTATAGAATCTTAAACTCTAAAAATTTTTATAAATCAACTCCCTAATAACATCTCCTTAGTTTATTTTCAAGTAAAGATTCCTAATATGGCCTATTGTCTTTGGTTCTAATTAGATAACGTGTATGCGGGCTTTGATACAACACAATATTAAGTTCATGTGGAAGATCAGATAAGAAATCGAATTGAATGTCATATTTCACTTGTAATGTAGAATTCACGAAACAAACGAACGTAATGAGAACTGATCTTTGAAATCCTCAAAGTCAATTAACTAAAACCAGTTTTACTAATCAAAGTAATAAATATAATCTCCCAGTTGAAATTGTAGATATGTCCCCAAACACCTTTGAAACATTCTTATTTATCCAAGCACGTCGGTTTTATTTCTTTTTTTCTTTCCCATTCAATGCCATAAGACATAGCAGAAAAAATCAAAGAAGATGATAGCTGCTTTAGCAAATTTGATCTTCTCGACTGTATGTTTCTTGTCCAATTCGATTTCTTATGTGATCTTCCACGCCGCAGCTTGTTCTTTTGTTCTATTTGTTCAAACCTTCAAGATTCCAGGAGAAGCCATGTATGCCTTGATCAAGCTGGTAAGAGATACATCAGAATCTTGTTTTCCCAAATTGTGTAAAATAGGTGTTGATGTAATCTGTGAAGGGTTTACAATCTTCTTTGATCTGGCGAAAGGACGAGCCATGAGAATATTAGATTCGATCTCATTGACAATTGGTAATGTGAGGGAGAAAGGAATGCCATGGTTTGACGAATTTCTGAAGGAATGGCCAAAAGTTTTTGAAGGATTTATCGAAATGGTATCAACCGTGTTTAGTGGTTTGTGGAATAATTACAAGGATGCTTTGTATTATGTCTACCGAAAGTTACTTGAGTAAATTATATTTGATGTAACCCTATGCGTTCCAACATTTATTGGACCGTTAATATTTGTAGTCATTCCTTGTAACTTGATTTTTGGATCGTGGATGATGTTCTTCAAGCTATCAAACATCAAACAGTAAATAGTTCCTTTATTTTCTGACTTTTATATTGTTTTTGTATAAATAGATTTTATTTATTTTGCCCATAGTTAGGTCCATAATTGTTGTTTCTATGTCACTTAAATCTGTTATGGATTTGCTATGGAACCTTTTTTTTAGCGAGCAGAGGAATGTGTGGTATCCTAACATTTTTTTAAAAACGGGTATTTGCATAAATACGTTTTTAATGAGATTTTGACGTTCTTCTAGCTTTGATTCTCGTGATTTCCAACAGTATCCAAGCTTTAATAATAGTTATGGCGGATTAAGCGATTCTTCTCTAAGTTTTAAACAACTCTCGACTTTAGATATAGAAGTATACTAAAACAAATATTTTTCTAAACAGGCGTTCTAGTCGCGTTTTGGGTAAATTTTCAAGAGTTAGTTGCTTGCATGACCTGAATTATACGAAAAGACTTTGTAGATGTCTAGCCACATTTCACTTATCCAATATATTATTAGAGAATTAAATGAAGATCGATAAACAAACCATTTATTTAACCTTTTTGGTGTTTGTTAGCACTAATGCACTATATTGATAGTCTACATCACATATATAGTTTGGGAGATGAATGTGATGATTAAAATACAAACATAACTTAACGGACACACGAAATGATAGCATGAAAACAAGAAGATCACTGAAGAAAGAGCGTCTAGATTTGCATGGCTTCGGAGCCAATGAACTTGGTGAGACCAAAGGTAAGAGCCATAGCCATCCAGCCACCAATCACCACCCTAACGCTCGACCTAACAACGCTTGTCTTTCCCAAGACCGCACCGGTCACTCCAAACACCAGCAATGCCAGGGTGGCTACAATCGCTACCACCGCCATTCTGACCTTATGATTCTCGATAAATACAGCAGCTAAAAGCGGCATTGCTGCCCCAACTGAAAACGCTAATGCTGATGCAATTGCGGCTTGTCCGGGATTTGGCAGCCGTTCTTTCTTCTCATCCTGCCATCAAAGTTACATTTTCTTGAATATATACTCATATAGAAGTTTCATGTCACTAAGAAATATGATAATTTTGAATAAAGTTAAGGTTAAACTATCACAAAATCAGTTGGCAATGCCAACAAATATGTGACTCAGAGATGATATTATGAGTATAACTGATTCAAACGCCAATTTATCAACAGAGCATCACATCTAAAAAAAAATCACATTGTTAAAATAAAATACCTTTGACTTTATCCTACAATATTTTTCCAGAAACAATAGATGCATTCTTCAAACGCTGAAAATTCAAACGCAAACAATGCTAACTAATAAGGAACTTTGGTTTAACACATAAAGAGACATGTAGGAAAAACATCTGTTAGTGCAAATACAAACACAAACACAAACAAACAATTAATTTAGACTTAAGTCTCTTACACATATGGATATGAGATGCAATTTTCAGATGGAAAAATAAAATAAAATAAATAATAATAATACTAGTAACGGTAATAACCAATTTGTCACTAAATCGTAACAGATATCTATGGGAAAATGTGTATCAGTCTTTCTTTTCATTTAAAAGGTGAGAGTAAGGTTTAGTGTTGAGACACTACATTACCTCCTCTTGTTCGTCGATTGCTGATAATGATGTCTTAGTCTCAATAGCTCTCTTCATCTGCGCAGTTTCAATATCTCTTTGTGTACACACAGATACAAACTCTCCAATGGCCATACTGCACGCACCGGCTACAAGGCCGGCAAAACCAACAAGCAACATTGCTTTGACGTCTTCTTTGATAGAACCAACACCCATCATGAGCGACGCGACCGTGACCAAACCATCGTTGGCTCCAAGCAACGCAGCTCTTAACCACTGTGCTCTCTGCATGTAGTCCACTTCCTCCTTTTCTCCTATTGGACGGCTTTTCTGATTCCTTGGGCTGCTTCTCTCCGAAAGCTCAACGTTGGAAGCCATGGTGTTGAATTCTTAGTAACTAGTGAATGCTTTAGTACGTGAACTTTGTTCTATGAGAAGGCTTGTGGAGAGCTCACGCCTTTTATAGAAAAATAAGATTTAGAATATTTGTTTATTAATTATAAGTTTGTTACCTAATAATATATATATATATATATATATATATATATAAGAGAAGTGAGTGAATGGTGGTACGTAGTGGTGGAGACGGTAACGTTGGACACAATACTTCTTTAGAGTGGAAATAAGAATCGGATGGATTTAAAAAGCCACCCCAAAGTGCTATCGTGATAAAACAATATTATTGGTGAAGTGAGTGAATGTGGTAGATCTTTTTAAATAATAGGATTATTACTAGTGACTGTGATTTGAACTGAATTTTACTTGACTGTGGTGATTAGTTCATCGGTTTTTTTTGTTTTTGTTACTTATAACCATAATGTTTTAAATGTGACCTATTTTGCTGGTTCTTGTACTCTTGCTAAATATATCCATTATTCTTTTTGTAGGACTTAAAATGGGATTAGAATAGTTTCACGACCGATTTCAAAATTTTTTAAAATTGATTAATTCATATTTTATTTGAGTTAATATGATGAAGTAAGTCGAGTATTTTATATAGTAAAAGTATATACAATAAATGTCTGAAATAAATCTTAGCCATATATCGTAACTCTCTAGTGATTATAAATTTAATAACTTAAAAGCTGTCGCGATTAAGCTATTTACCCTAACATTAGTAAAAAAAAAACCAGAAAAACAAAACAAAACAACAACGACAACAACAACATGATTATACTTTTGTTTATGTTTTACATTTATATTGAAAATGTAGACAAACAAATTCTTGTGTGTGTCATGTCATTGCTAACATCATTTTGTGTGCTATGTCATTGCTAACATCATCTGTCTCTCCTTTTTTTTCTAATCATCTGATTGATTATTATTACTGAGTTTTTAATTATAAAAGCCGGCTAAAAATGTTGAATCTCCAAAATGCCTAAAAAGAGAACCACAAGCCCAAAAGAGAAACTCATACAACATCGAAACTATAACTAAATCGACTCATTCTCCCTTAGTTCTACTCTGAGCCATAATACTTTATTCCCGGCCCACATTTTTTTTTAATATATATTGTGTTTCTTTGTTATTAAGACAATCTCCAATATATTCCTTTATTTTTTACTTAAAAATATAGAAGTAAGTTTTACTCTAATGTATTCTTCTAATTTTAACTATAAAAGAGAATATTTTAAGTATATTCTATCTTTCTTTTATTAATAATGCCTTCTATTTGTAAATAAATACAATTTAACTCCACTTGTTTTATATTTTAAAAAAAATTTATGCATTATGATATAATTTAAAAAGAAACCTTTATTCAATAATAAAAATTCATTATATCAATTAAAAAAATTAGTAAATTTTGGTTTAAAATCACTATCACTATATTATGTATTAAGTCACTAGTCTTTTTTATGTCAAAATGAATAAAAGTATAATATTCTATCAAATACTGACTTTTTGAACTATAATACATCTGAAATTAACTTTGTTAATTTTATTGTTAAATTTGAATTTATATCATTTATATTGTTTGTTTTAGTCATAAATATAAAAATTTAAAACTTAAAGGATAAATTTATAAACAAAAAAGTTCAACACTTTTTTAGAATAAAAAAATAGAAATTTTCCAAATATAAAGAAAAAATAGATAAATGCTATTTTAGAGATGAAAATAGAAGTGAGTTGAAGATAATTTTATAATTTTTCTCTAACATAGTATTTAAAATAAAAAATAGAAGTGGATTGGAGATACCCTTAGATCAGTCCCGGTAAATAAGGATATAATTTTGGTTTTCAGATTTCAAGTCTGATCTATCTAGTCCAGTCCTATCTATCAATTAAACTGAAGGATTATTGGTCGTATTTGACGAAAAGTCGTTATTGAGCTCCTCTCTCTTTGTAGATATATATATTTTTGCTTTTCTTATTATTTTGTTTGTTTTTCTTTCTCTTTTTCTTTTATTTTGCTTTAATTTGTATTTGTTTTGTTTTTTTCTTTGAACCGTCGAGTAGAAGCTACTAACTAAGTTCCCACTCATAGTAATTTGATGCCATCACGTCCTACTCCTTTGTTAACAACACTAAAACCGCCTTGTCCTAATATAATGTTCTTGCTAAAATTGTTGTCATCACCTGCAATCACACCACTGATCAATGCCCTAAGAACAATCCCAGTTCTACCATTCTCAATATTTGTCATCTTAGATTTCCTGAGCTGATAAACATATACCATGACACTGATGCCAATTAAGATAAGTAGGCAAGTACTCCTCCGTTTATGCTCCCAATGAATGTAGTCAATCCATTGTCTTCTTAGTTTCGTCTGAGAAATCTGTTTACTGGTTTGTAAATGACTTTGACGTGTTTTGGAAGCTTTGGTATCTCACCACCTTGTAACTATAGCTAAAACGCGAGCTTATTGTTTCGGAGATCCACCTCAACAAGTTCAGGCGTTCAGGCCGAGAACTTATAGCGGGTGAGATAACACCACAGAGTGACATACTAGAAATCCTTGTGGAGACTACCTGGTGTGCGGTTGAACTCCACACCTTTCCATTTGCAGTATCCAAAGGAATACTTTGTAGACCAGCAAGGAGGATGTTGTCCAAAGGCTTTCCAGAGTTTTGAATAATTCAGCTTTTTGTCATCCACCAAATCACAGACAACCACACAAAAAAAAAGATAGTTTAAAAAAAAAAAATATATATATATATATATATATATACAAAGCAATTCCATTTAATTATACATGTCAGAGTCCAAATTTGTTGTTTGTTCGTAGTTGCCAATATTTTAGGTCATACCGGAGATGGAAACAATGCATATACTAATATGTGATATCCAATTTGTTTCCGATAACAATTTTATACTACTTTTAAAATTTAAGTTAATCCGGTTATGTATGATGTGTCATGATCGTCATTGAAATACACAAAATGTAATATCCAACTATATAGAACATGTCGTTTGTTTTAATGATTCTGAATCATGATATTAAACTCTGGTCGAAAGATAGCAAAATAATAAGAACAGATAATGTTGTAAAATTAGCAATATATGTGACCTGAAATCGTTCTTGAACTTCTCTCTCTTACAGTTATATTTGATTGCTATTTATTTTGTTTTTCTTCTCTTTTTAATTTATTTTGCTTTTTATATTTTTGATCAGTAGAAAAGAAGTTATAATCACATCACTAAGTTAAGGTGCCATCACGTCCTACTCTGTAAACGACACCAAAACTGTCTTGTCCTAATATATTAGAATTTAATGATTATCATTTTTTTGTCAATAGATATTGTGTAAAGATGTACAATTAGGATAATAAAATGATTATATACTACTTCCATAGTTTTCAAATTTGATAACAAAAAAATGAATTTTGACAAAGAAAAATAGCTGGAAAATGTAATATAAGAAATCATTCACAATGTCTTTTGATATTTGTTTAAGGTAAATTATGTGATTCGTTCAATAATACTACAAAATGCAAAGAGAAGAAATAGACGAAGCAATCACAATTTTTTTTAATTAATATGATTCGTTCATAACAACAAAGAGCACAAATAATCAGAATCCACGAGGTCCGAGGTCTTGAATCGCTGCTAGCTGTTATAAAAATTCTTAAGCCGTAGGTTGTGAGAATCTCTCTTTGTTCTCAATTTCTTGAATGCCTCATTTGGATTATTCTTTCCCCGTTATTTATAGAATCACGTCGTTTAGGTTTTCTTATCCCTCTTCGATGTAGGAATCAACGTCCTTATCCTCATATTTTTTATTGAGAATATCTCATTTTTCCTGTATTTATTATTGCTGGATGCATTTTGTATGGTCAGTCTTAGATGTGTATTTTGCAGGCTGCCTTAATTTGATGTCATGGGTTTTAAATCATATTGGGCTAAACCCAAATGAATAAATTACTCCCAACAATATTACACATAAAATGTCATGTTCTTTTTGTTTGAAAAAAATATACTTTATGAATTTCAACATATTATAAATTTCAACATATTATAAATTTCAACATATTATGAATGAAAATATTAATTATTATTCTTTTTTTTTATCTTGTTTATATGAATGTAGATGATGTTTTATATCCCAATTTTCAAAATTAATAAGTAAAACAATTGTGATTATTAAAACAGAAAATTAAGTTTAGCACAGTGATGTATAAATACTCGCTTTTGGGCTAGGTTTTAGGTTTATGACAAATACATTACTATTATTCTGAATTTCATGAAAAGCTAAGTTTCATAACCTTAAAGAATAGTAGAAAACCGTAGCCATTTGCAACATCATGACTCATGAGCCATTATAAGGAAGTGATTGAGTTATATACGGTTAAAACATTGTATTCTCACCATAAACCAACCCTTTTTTTCAAACTTTAAACTTCATTAACTCAGAGAACATCGTTTAAGAGAGTTCGAAGAGTTTCTTTGGCTACAGAATCCGCCACAGTATTAAGAGTCCGGGGGATATGCGCAATAGAGAAAGAGGAAAAGGATATCGTCAAACGACGGATATCGGAGACAATAGCATAGATCTCATTAAGGGAGTTCTGAGATTGGAGAGAATTCACGATGGACAAACAGTACGAAAGCACTTGAATCTCTTCACATCCTCGTTCAGTCGCTAATAGAAGAGCCTCGCGAATAGCCCATGCTTCAGCTGCGAGAGCCGAGGAGACATGGTGTCGAGAGCTCGAGAAGGTGAGTCTCTGATTCTCATCTCTGAAGTTGAAGACGATGCCCAAACCACACGACCGAGATATGGCATCACAAGCTGCATCTACGGTGCAACTGATATCAGCCAGCTCGATAGCAGGTGGTGCTTCCGGTGGGGTACGCATCGAAAAATAGGCTGATTCCTGAGCTGCTTGTCAAGTCTGCGAGTCCAAAATCTCTTTCGTGATAACTTCCTGCTCAGAGAAAGTTGTATCTGAGAAATTCCAGCTGTTGCGGGCTGTCCAGAGATTCCAGCAAATCCAAGCTGGGAGTGAAGCCGCAAACAGTCCTGATGGTGGGAGGCTAGTCAGAGAATGAATTCGAGCCAAGAACTCAAGGACATGAACAGTGGTGAGGTGGTGTTTTTCACGCAGCGGCTCTAATTCCCAAACTCCTCTAGCAAACTGACAGTCTCGCAGACATGCGTAATGGTTTCTGAGGCCCTGCAAATCTTCCAGGCAAAGTCGACTTGAATTCCTCGATTAGCGAGCTGGACCCCGACCGGAAGAGCTTCCACGGCAGCTTTCCACAGAAAATGTTTTATCTTAGGCGCGGTACGAAGTCTCCAGATGTTCCTTTGCCAGGCGAATTCCCTTTGAAGGTTGGGAGTATGGTCCGTAGAGGTGATGTCATAGCCTGAACGAACAGCATATTTTCCATTCTTCGCTGGTAGCCAAACCAGTCTGTCTGGAGGGTGAGATGTACTGATCGGGAGGAGGCGGATCAGGTGCTCGTAGTCAGGAATAATCTCTTGAATTCTCCTCCAGTTCCAGGTGTTCCCAACTTGGTCAATAAAATCTGAGACGAGGAGGTCTTTAGTTGCCAGCGTGGGTGGTCCAATGGGGCGTAGGGACATCGTAACGCTTAGCCATGGGTCCTCCCAAACCCGAATGGATTCACCGTTGCCCACCAGCCATTCCATGCCATGACGGAAAACGTCCCTGCCTACAATAATGCTCCGCCAACCATGAGACGGGTTGGATGGAAGAGTGTAATCCATGAAAGATGCAGAGTGGCAATATTTGCCCAGCAACACTCTTGATATCAAAGCCTGAGGGTGTGCAATAAGGCGAGCTCCGATCTTCGCTAGCAAAGCATTGTTAAAGCACTCTATGTCTCGGAAATCTAGTCCACCCGCATTCAGGGGAGTCGCAAGTCTATTCCAAGAAATCCAGCTCATCTTCCTCTGTTCTGGTTTGTCATCCCACCAGAAACTTGTAAGTACAGATTGGATTTGCTTATAGAGAGACTTGGGCAGCTTAAAACGAGACATGGCGTATGAGGGCATCGACGAAAGCACTGATTTGAGAAGGACTTGTTTTCCGGCAGCCGAAAGGGAGCGAGACGCCCAACTATATGAGCGTTGTCTAATACAGTCCACTTGGCTCGCGAAAATGTCTCTCTTTTTCTGGCCAAAATTTTCCGGCAGTCCTAGATATTTTCCGGCTCCTTCTTCATTGTGAATGCGGAGTATACGTTTCGCCGCTGCTCTTTGATTGCGGTGGGTTTTGGCCGAGAACGTGATGGAGGATTTGGTTAGATTAATGCTTTGACCCGAAGCTTCCTCGTATCGTCTTAGAATAGACGATAGTACAGCACAGGAGGTGGGATATGATTTGCAGAAGAACATGGTGTCATCAGCAAATAGAAGATGGTTACCTTGTGGACTGTTTCGGGATACCCGAATACCAACCAGAGAACCATTTTCCTGAGGTTTCCGGCAGAGACCCGCTAGAACTTCCGTGCAGAGAATGAAGAGATAGGGAGAGAGAGGGTCCCTCTGTCTAAGTCCTCGGGATGGGAGAACTCTTCCTTGCGGTCCTCTATTGATGATAAATGAGAAGGACACTGTCATCACGCACTCCATTATCCAGTTGACCCATCTGTGGTGGAAACCCAGGCGATCCAAAACGGCTCTTGATGCGTGTCAACTACGTGAGGGAACAAGTTTTACCCTTAAAAAAAACAAATGAAAGCTGCAAGTGCACAACTAATCAGTTGTAATATTTAGGGATCGAATCCACAGAGATTTGTGTGCCTGGTATTCTTTTACGATTTTTTTAACTTTATGTCTAGACTAGATTGGTTTTAAAGGTTGGTTGTTTATCACAAATTAAACTAAAACTTAAAGAAAGCAAATAAATCTATCCTAGAAAGCAAGTAGAAAAATCGAATGGAAAGCAAGTAAAGCAAGTAAAATATCGAACTAAGGCAATTGAAATGCAGATCTAACTAAGCAAGTAAAAATCAATTGGTTTGTAAACTATGGCTAAAAACGCTGAGCTTTTGGGAACTCTAAGGGATTATAATCGGTTTTAACACTAAGGTAGATAGATTGGGATTGACGGATATCGATATATAGGGTTTTAGAGCTAGAGTACGGCGGTATGACTACGTCACTGTCGTGATCATAACCAACTGTTTCTCGCAACCCTGACCAGTAGGTTTCCACTCTGGCCCTGGAAGGGAGAGAACGCAAGAGCTGCACAAGACTCGTCAATACTCACCATCTCGCCGCAGGTAGGTTTCCACTCCTACGGAAAAATCGCCTGTTTCATTCTAGGGCTGATACTTAATGAAAACTTTCGCAACACTAACTATCTAGATCAGATACTAGGTGATCAATCAAGCATACATGCAATAAGAACAAGAATAAACAGAGAACAAAGTTGAAATCCCAGATCTATAAACTTAGATGTCTTGATCGATTATGAGAGCCCCTTTCGGGAACCCTAAGCCCAACTCGGGATCTACTCAGACATGGCTGAGGTCGACATCATCATTGGTTTTAATAAAAGTAATCAAAAACAGTAAAGAAAAGAGATGAAGAAAGCTTCTCCATTGAAAAACTCGGACTTGAACAATCTTCTACAAAAATCGCATAAAAACGGCTAAAGGAAAAAGGGTTTCTGTAAAGTATGAAGGGTGGTGTCTAAAAAGACCTAAATGACAAGTATTTATAGTCTTCAATACTCCATGGTCTCTAGGGTTCCGGAATTTAGGCTGAGAATGACTTTGGGCTTCAGAAATATGGGCTTTAGTTCGGAGTTAGCCGGCCGCGGTCGAGAGTGATGTGACCACGGGGAATAGGTGGTTGGCCGTGGTCGGGAGGCTTGTGACCGCGGGGAATGGGCTGTTGGCCGCGGTCGCGTGACTTGCTGGCCGTCTTCGAGTGACTCTGGGGCTGATGGAATATCTTGAGATCCAACCGTTGGAATGTCTCCAAACCAAGTGCATTTGAAAGCTGGTTGATTCTTCTATAAGTTGTCCAATTTTGAGGGTGATCAGACGGTGAGAAGGTCTTCATCTCTCCATGAGAGTTCTGACGGTCTGCATTTATCCAAAAGAGTCTTTTTGTTCCAATTTGTGCCTCTTTATCCCAAATTACCTGAAAAGTCTTTTAAAATCCGAAAACATAGAAATCCTTTGAAAATGGAGTAAAAACACCTGTAAAAGACATTAAAGTGATCCATAAAAATGGTCAAAATCCGGTGTTATCAACTCCTCCAGACTTAGTCTTTTGTTTGTCCTCAAACAAAACAAAGGCTAAATCTCGGCGAGAGGTTTGAAAATGCAGGAACTAAACAAAATCTCAGAGACCAAACTTCTAGACCAATATCAATCAGTATGCATCAATCGGGAATAGCCTAGAAAATTCTCACTAGCAATACAAGCATAACTAGTCCGTTAATCCGTCATGCAGAAATCTATGCACTAAGATCTAACTTCCAGTCAACTAGCTCTTAACATTCATTAAAAATCTTGGTGGTTCTCATCAAAGAAAGGCTAGGCAAGGCAAACTAGGCTAGGTGTCAAAAAGGGTTATTCTAGGGGTAAGGCTTAAAGTGTTTACGGGTTACCTGAAGATCTGGAGGATCCAGGATATTACGAAAAAACGCAAGAGAGAGTGAAGCTGTTGGTATCCACAGTTTTCAGTCACTTTCTTCTTGCCATAGATTACTGGTCTTTTTCCTCAGGTTCTCTCCTAACTCCCCCAGACTTAGATTTTTGTAAATCTTTCAAAAACATAGCTCTATAAATGTTTAGTAGTTGCTTCTTGCTTCACAAATTTCGACAATCTAGGACTCATTAGGCTTTTTGTTTCCCTCTCTCTTTTCATTCGTTTTTTTTTTTTTTTTTTAGAAGAGAGGGAACTCCTTTAGATATAGAGTCTTAGAGAGCACGAAATTACCAGTTAAAATCTGTCTTGTAAAGCTTCATGAGGTTTCTGATTCTCTTCCTTCCCAATTCCATTCAGTCTCCTTTGTGAGTGACTGAAAACTGCGTCGCTCCTCTTCTCTCCGACGTTTTTGCACATATCTACTGATATAAACTAAAGAGAGAATGCATGAGGATTGAAAACAGGGGTTTTGGGTTTAGGGTATGGTACCAGATAAAGATAAACTGGTCATCTAGGACGACAAAGAGTGGTAAAAGTGAGGGTAAAAGACGTCCTAGATGTGTATGTCGATGTCTGCCTAAAATCAATGATGAGAAAATTAGATGTCAATATTAAGGTCAAATAAAATGAGCTAGTATATCCTGTCAGAAAGAATCTCCATGAATAGAAGTCCTCTGGTGGGAGTTTGTAGTGCAAGTACTCTAGCTACCGCCTAATCCAGTGTTAACCACAAATGAGCTATATGCATAGTGTAGAAGCGTGCAGGTCTAAATCATCATAGTTTGGTGTCAAACATTCCTGAAAAATACTCAATGTCGAATAGGTTACATATTAAAATTTAAAAGTGCTTGAAATTTGAAAGCGAAAGCAAGAAAATGATTAGTACGGATAGACATCCTCCCCCAGACTTAAATCACACTATCCCCAGTGTGAAAAAGTTGGTGAGAAGATGGTGAATAAAAGCGAAATAAAACAAGATAAAATAAAAGAAAATGATGATAGAACCGTGATGGCAGTGAAGTTCTGATCAATCACTCATCCTCCGATGTGTCTGCTGCGAACTGGTGCTGCTCCTGTAGGACGGTGACAACGCGCTCAAAGCGTCGTCCCTGTCTCTCAACTCTGCGCTCCAGATCAGAATGTGTGTGCGATGATGTAGATGATGAGGTGTGGACGGTCGAAATAGATGGTTGAAAGTGAGCACGGGCCACAGCTGCATTGCGT